CAAACACACAAACACACACACCTAAACACACACACATGCACGCACATAAATGCACACTCCAAGAGCATAGCCAATCCATTACCACAGCCAGTGGAAGGCAGCAGTGTGCTATAAAGGTCCAGGATTTATACCTGTGTCACAATGACCATGAAACTCTCCTCTGTTCTCACTGTACCTCTACACTGCCACGGTGCCAGATGGCATCACTTTAATTCTCACTGTCTACATGGTAATTTCTAACAGATGCATGTGTAATCTATCCAGTTCAGTGTGTCTGTTTTTTTAGGTCATTCTCAGACAGCTTATTGTTCTTTGTTTATGTGTGCCGTCTTAAGCTCACACAGAATTTTATACGCATCTTTTTATTTCTTTGAAGGTCAAACCTGCTACTTTAATCTGTAACATATTTTAAGCATTTTATTTTGCCCCATTTAAAGCTTTTATAATTTAAGGTTGAATTACTGCCATTTAAACATTGAGGATTCGTGAGGGAAGCTTGTTAATGGTTGAAATTCCAAAAGTCCAAAATATCCTGACGTCACATGGGTCAAGCTATGAAAACACTTTCCATAATGCATCTCAATAGCATATTTTCTTTAAACCCTCCATGTCCATGTCTTTTAAACTCCATGCCTGCAGGATTTCTGTCCTCTGTCTCAAAGCTCAAGTTAACACTAATGATATCACCAGGGTTTTTTCTGACTGCTCCCTCCAGAGCCACAGAATGTGCCATGGATTTTCCACAATGAGTAAACTGATCTTGATGTGTTTGCCTCTAACATTACTACAGTGCGTTTTTCTTAATACAATTAATTTCTATGTATTTGTTTTCATTTTTAAAAGTGTCATATTTTGTAAGAAGCCATTTTTGACTAATGTCAGTAAAGCATCTTGTAGACTTGAAAAAAGCTGTTTGTTTTGCAAAGGCTTCCAGAGTGGTGTGTTCAAGTGCTGGAGGGGATGTCTGACATCAAAGACTTGCGCTAGGAGTCGACTACTGAAGAGCAACCTTTCAAATGCGATTTTTTAATTTTTTTTTTACCAGATTGATGTTATCATTTCCACAACATCCATGTTGGCTCTTCAACATGTGGGCCAACATAAGTTATATCAGACTGAGACTTCAGAAGTAATACTTAATTAACTTAATTCACTGCTGGTTTTAGTTTCTCCAGAGCAATTGTTCATATTAAAAAGATAAAATAAAAAGTTTGAAGGCAGTAACTTTAATCCTGGATGAGACATCAGTCTAAAGGAATCCTTATTATGCTGTTTGATTCTCTAAATGTGCACTGATTGAACATATTGCTTGTGTGATGTAATATGTAAGATAATCGGAATCAATCTGTGGTCCTCTCCAAGTAACTTATGATTCACATGTAATGAAGCAGGCATTTCCCATTGTTCCAGTCATGATACAGTGGAACTTAAACTTGCAAATTAAAGCAAGGAGAAGAAGAAACAGCTCACATATGACAGCAGAGAGTATATTTCCAAAGAGCGATCGGTTGATAGGTTGAGTTA